TATTTCTCCCCCCACCCCTCCCATCCCTCATAACCAACAAAGATTGTTACTTTTTGTGTGTAAACTTTTTCATGAGTTTTTACAGTAGCGGTCTCATACAATATTTGTCCTTTTGTGATTAACTTATTTCACTCAGCATAATGTCCTCCAGTTTCATCCATGTTATGAGATGCTTCATAGATTCATCATTGTTCTTTATCATTGCATAGTACTCAAAAATGGCAAGTTTTATGTTACACATATTTTACCAGTTTTTTAAAAAAGTAAACCCTATCCCTCAAATATTTCTCAAGAACTTTATCTAACTGCTAAATTAGCATGCATTTACAAGGTGCATATATGCCTAACTCAAGCCCAATAAATGCCTACTGAATGAATGCAGAAGAAGAAAACATTCCCCAACTGCCACAAGTGATGTCACAAAAACCATACACCAAACACATTTTTACTAACATCACATCAGGTTTTCGTTCAGTTAGCTACTCTTTACACAAAATGTCAACAATTTGGTTTCCTAGTCTCTATAGCAGATTACCAAAAAAAAAAAAAAGAAAAACCTGTTGCCATGGAGTGGATTCTGACTCATAGCGGAGCGCTAGTGGCGCCAATCAGTGGTTAAGAGCTACAGCTGCTAACCAAAAGGGTGGCAGTTCAAATCCACCAGCTGCTCCTTGGAAACCCTGTGGGGCAGTTCTGCTCTGTCCTATATGGTCACTATGAGTTGGAATAGACTTGACGGCAACGGATTTGTTTTTTTTTTTGGTTTTATAGCAGATTAGAAGGAGCCTGGTGGAATAGCGGTTAAGCAGCTCTGCTGCTAACCAAAAGATCAGCAATGGGGCAGTTCCAACCCACCAGCTGCTCTGAGTGAGAAAGATGTGACAGTCTGCTTCCTTAAAGATTACAGCCTTGGAAACCCTATGGGGCAGTTCTACTCTGTCCTATAGGGTTGTTAGGACTTAGGTGGCAGTGGGTTTGTTTTTGTTGTTGTTTTATAGCAGATTAGAATACAAATGGAGAGGATCTGTTGCTAGAAGCAAGCAATTGAGAGCAACAAGTAATACACACTGGGGAGGAAGATGAAAAAGTCAATAAAAATGTAAAAAGCAGCCTGTAAGGCCAAAGTTAAACTGCCTTATGTATCTCAAGAACTCCTGGAGCATCACTATGTTGCTTCAGAATATGGTGAATCGGGGGGCAGGAGGAACTTGTGACATTTCTCTATACACATTTTATAACAATTTCAATAATAATTTGACTAGATTTTGAATCTAAGGTACACTTCAGGCACTGATGATTTTAACAGGCCTGGCCGTATTTATTAAATTGTGCATTCACATGTCACTTAAGAATTTTCAAAAGTATTTTCTGATACAGTTTATTTAATCCTTACAATCTAGGCATTATTTCTAGTCTACCAACGAGGAAGCTAGGGCAAGGAAAGGTTTTATGACTTTTACCTCAAGTTTACACAACAAATGAGTGACTGAACTGGCACTAGAATCCTCCTATCTTGTTTTCCCATCCTGAGCTCTTCAATACCATAGTCAATATATGCTTCCGTTCCACATCATCATACCAGACAGGTAGGTAGCTGTCTCTCCTATTCTAAAAAAATGTCAGCGAATACTACTTAAGTAGAACTGATCTAAATGATTCTTGAGATCCACTCTAGGATTCGTTCATGAGTGGATATCCTAACAAAATGAATCCCATAATCGCCAGTTCAATTTTGTATGGAATTTTAAGAGTTTGGCTTACATAAACATTAGCTCCTAAAACAGAAATCACAGTACTCGGTGTTTCTAGGGACAGAAATCTCGGAAAAAGAGACAAAACTGTTCCCTATATCACCCCAGTAAAAGCCCCGATCGAGTCGGTGCAGGGGGTGATATTCGAAGCAGGAGCGCGTCCTCAGCGACTCCGGCCGCCGCGGAGCTCTCCCCAGTAGGGACCGGGAGGAGGAGGCCCGGGCGTTTGTGCCCTTTCACAACCGATGGTTGCAGAGACCGCGATCAACCGTCTCGATTCTTCACGCCAAAGCCTGGTTAAGAATTATTTTCGACCCCAGTCCCTGCTCCTGCCCGGGACCCTAGCCATCATCTTTAACCTGAGCTCCAGGCGCGAGTTAGCTTAACTTGCTCCGAAACGCGCTCCACACCCCCACGTCCACCCAGCTGGCAAAGATAAATGCTCGTCTACCCCCATCGAACCCAGTCGGGGGCCTCGCCCGCGTCGCCCGGCGGCAGCAGACACACCTGTCTGACAAATCTGAATGCAGGCCCAGCGATGGCCCCCAGGACAGCTACCCCGGGCCCCTCCTGCTCCACGGACCCGTCTCCTCCTCACCCGTAGAGGCCCCGGCGTCAGCGCTACTCTCCAGGCGGGCTGCACTCTCACCTACCCGCGTACACAGCACCGGATCCGGATCCGGCTTCAGTGCCAGCTCCTCCTCCTCCACCTTCCGCGCCACAGTCGCCAACGCGGCCGCCGCTAGGCTAACAGCTACCAGACGTGGCAGCAGCGCCAACGCCTTCACCCCGCCCTGCCCGCTGACGTACAGGCGCGCGCGGAGGCGGAGGCGAAACCCTCGGGAGTCCCAGACCAAGGGCCTGGGCGGGGCCGGGGGCGGGGCTGCGCGTCAGCAAGCTGAGCGGTGGCTAACACTCCCCCGGCTTTCAGCCTCGCGGCGGCGGGGAAAACGTAAGCCCAGTTTCATTCTCGCTCCCCACAGCCTTCCTCACGGTTTCACTATCTCAGTAAATTTGTAAATAAACCTAGTTAGGAGTCAGCTGAGCAGTGGGTGCCGTGCTCTCCACAACAGTGTAAGTGGGTGACTAGTCAGGTACGGAAAGACCGGCTTGTTGCTCCCTTCCCTCAGGATTCAACCCATTTATTAGGACCCGACTACTAACCGGCAGCTCCGAGCTCCTCTTCCCTAGTTTTCAGAGTGAACCTTCAGGGAACCATGATTTGAGGTCACTGCATTCTACTCCTTCGGGACTATTGTTTTATTTTCCCCTCCAGTCATTTTAGGATGAAGATGGGGTTAGGGCAGTGATTCTTAACTGGCGATTTTGCCCCCAAGGAAACATTTGGCAATGTCTGCAACATTATCAACCTCACATCTGAGGGGAGAGGTGCTACTGGCATCTAGTGGGTGGAAGCCTGGGATTCTGGTAAGCATCCTACAATGCACTGGACAGCGTCCCACAACAAAGGATTATCTGGCCCAAAATGTCAATAGTGCTGAGGTTGAGAAGCCCTGGTTTAGGAGAAAAATTATCTCCCTTTGACTTTTCTCTGAGCTCCCATTTCCAGAGTGTCTTATCTAAGTAGCACCTGTCCCCATTTTACAGATTCGGAAACAAAGGTTCAGAGATGTTAAATAAGTTACCACATAGCCACTAGCTCCCCTACCTTGCTTTGCACCATAATTTTCAACTTATTGAAATTGGAAAGTATTTTGTTCTTAAACAGTACTGTTCAAAGAATTAACAACATATATATGCTCTACCAGAAAATTATATTTTCTGCTCATTTGTGAGATTTAAATATCAGTTAACTCTTAGGATTCATGCAGTCTCACAACTTCAAACATCAGTGATGCTGATGACATCCACATCTCTGTATCCAGCCCTATTTCTACCTTCATACACACAAAAGAATATCTAAGGCATAAATAAAAATCAACAGCATGTGTTTTTGGTTACTGTGGAGTTGGCTCAGACTCATGGTAACTTTATGTTGCCCGATTATGAGTCATCTTCATGATCTTTGGTATGTTTGAGCCTATTGTGGCTTTTGTGTCAATCCATCTTATTGAGGGTTTCCCTATGTACCTATGTGTAGCCTTGTCTTATCAGATGTCTGGTCCTATGTTTTCAGTGAGTTTCTCCTGATCAACAGAATCCTGTGAATTTTATAATTTAGCAAAGAGTTAAACAATCAGTTATAAAATTTATCACAGAACACAGGAGTTCTAAGAGGTACACCGGGAGCTCTCCTGCATTCCAGACATACTCTTCCTTACCCCCATTGTGTTATACCCCTTGCCATCGAGTAGATTCTAACTCATAGCAACCCTATAGGACAGAGTAAAACAGCCCCATAGGGTTTCCAAGGCTGTAATCTTTGAGGAAGCAGAGTGCCACACCTTTCTCCCACGGAGTTGCTGATGGGTTCGAAACACTGACCTTTTGGTTAACAGCTAGATGCTTAACTGCTATGACACCGGAGCTCCTTCACTGTGTCATAGGGACCCAGTTTCCCCTTAATAATCAAGATCAGTTGCCCCAGCTAGCACAATGAGGAGCCCAAAGTGGCCAGGGGACAGTCTCAACTTTTAGTTTAATGGAACCATTGGTATGTCTTCTGGTAATTTTTAGTTACTTTTTGGATTTGTGTAAGAAGTACTGCATCACCAATATTCTTGATGGCGCGGATAACGATATTATATGGAAAAACATGGTTACTGATGAGTTTGAGAAATTATTCAGGAGTGTTCAACTCAATGAGAAGAAGTTTTAAGAATATCTTAGCCAATTTATTTCATTTGTATTTTCCTTTTAATGTTTGCACAAGAATTAGATTTAACAATCAATATATAATTAAGTACAAAAGAAGTCTTTTACTAGATGCTAAATAAAAGTTCCAAGTGATAAGAAAGCCTGTGTTACAGTTTTAAATTGAATGCCTTGGTTCTTAATGGTATATAAACTAATGATGCATCTTACAATGGACGTGTCTAAGACTGGATGAAATATAGTATATAACTAAAAATGATAATAATTATCTAAACATGTTCATCAGTTATTTCATTTGATCCTCATATGATACTGTGAGAGAAGGTGGGCATTATTATTTCTATAAGGCAAATGAAACACAGGTAATTTTCCTTATAGGCGATGCTGTGTTTTGTTTCATAGCCTTTTGAACTTAAGAACTTAATAAAAATAGTTCAATAATTTGTTTCTATAACGTTAGCCACAAATGTAAAGCATTTTTACTGTTGAGTTCATCATGTTACATGACACCTGTTTGAAAATGTGATATTATAAATGAAAGATGAGAATTAAGCCTTGGGAGATCTACATAAAGAGTTAGGGAATATTCAGATATGACAGAAATTCCTGTGATCTGAGAAAGGAAGCAAGAAGTTAAAGCTGGGGGCGGAGGGGGGGTGTAGGGCGGAGATTAAACCTGGGAGAAAGGTGATGGTGTGGAAAATATCTCAAAATTGGTGGAAGTGCTTTTGTGGTATTTATTACCACATTACAGATTCAGGTTTTATTGTTTAGTCCTTCAAAGATGGTTCATCTTCTTCTAGGTACTGTGCCTTCAAATCATATAGCTTCCAATAGCTACTGCTGGAGAGTCAGGGTCTTGCTTCCAAGCCAAAAAACCCAACTCTGGAAAGATAGTTTATAGAATCAACAGGAAGCAGGCTGAGAAAATGGCAGAAGCTAAGAGAGTAAACAGCCGAGGTCATGCCATGGGAATAGCTTGGTTAGATTTGCCACCCCTGAATACTCACCATCACAGCTGTGTACTCAGGTCACACACATACTACCTAGCTGTCCCGTTCTGAAAGAATCAGTATCTTGGCTTTTTGGCCTCCTCCTGCCAAGAGTTATGCGATGTTGAATCTCCAGAGTGGGCTTTCAGATCCTGGGCAGCCAGAAAACTACATAGACACTTGATTGTTATACATTATTCCATATATATTTTGTTAAAATGTGATTGAATATGTAGAACATTTTAAATATACATTTAATAGAGTCATTTTTTGCTACAAGGAATTGTTTGCTTTATTATCAGTTTTCTTTTAAGGAAAGCTATTAAGTATTGAAAATCCTGCAAAACATTTCCAGAACTACAACATTCACCCTGCTATGGGCATAGCCATTTTATTAACTCCTTCCTTGCCAAAAGCTAAAATATATAGGAGTCCCCCCCACCCACAGAAAACTAATTAATTTTATTGTGAAATGTAGTATGATCCACCTTACTTGCTGAAATTCACCTGTAAAACCAGGTATTCTTAGAGATGGTTGTTGTTGTTAGTTGCCTTTGAGTCAGTTCCAACTCATAGCGACCTCACGTGTGCAGAGTAGAACTGCTCCATACGGTTTTCAAGACTGTGACCTTTCAGAAGCAGATCACCAGGCCTGTCTTCCGAGGCGTCTCTGGGTCGGTTCAAACTGCCAACCTTTCAACTAGTACTGGAGCACTTAATCGTTTATACCACCCAGGGACTCATCTATAGATGGTAGCAGTCATTTTTAGATATTCCTTCATTATACCAAGCTCCAGTGTTCACTTTTGTCTCTGAATTCATAGTCTTTAAGTATCTAACATATAGTTAATTGATTTGTTTGTTGTTTATTGCAAAGGTAATGCATGATTGTTTAAAAATTTGGAACATTACAGAAATACAGAACAAAGAGTGATCAGTCTCCATAAACCTACCCTCAGAGATAACCAATGTTAACAGAGTGGCAGATGTCCCTCCAGACTGCCTGGGTTCCATTTTGAGCCCTTCCACTTGACTGATGGACACTCCACCATCTTGTGGTCACACTGTCTAAAATATGTGGCCTCTTGAAAGCTATAGAACAAAATTCAAATTCCTGAAAAAAGGCTAGACTTACTGGAACAATAGAAACTAGAGGAACCCCCCAAGACCATTTGAACCTGGAATCTGGAGATCACTTTTCAGCCAAAAATAATAGATTGGTTTATGAAATAAACACTATCACCCATGAGTTATGTGCTCACTTAAACAATCAACTGTATGAGACCAAATGGTCAACGTTTATCCTAAAACAAAGATGAGAAGGCAAGGAGGGGCAGGGAAGCTAGGTCAGTGGAAATAGAACAAACAGAATGGAAATAATGAGAATGCTGATACATTGTGAAAATTGTAACCAGTGTCATGGAACAATTTGTATAAAAATTGAACCTAATTTGCTGTGTAAACTTTCACCTAAAACACAATAAAATATATTTTTAAAAATCCATTAAAATAGAAAAAATAAATAAATGAAATATAATACATGGCCTCTTCAGTTACCACTGCAAGTGAAAAGAGACTAGAAAATCACACATGGACTTTTTACTGCCTTAGCTCATAACTGACATACTTTACTCCTACTCACACAATTTATTTGCCATAACTAGTAACCATAGCCCTGCCTAACTACAAATAAGCTGGGAAATGTACAGCAGCAAATATTGGTGAGTGCTATCACATTCCACATTTTTCTTCTCAGCATGGGATAATACTGTCCAAATAGTGTTACAACTGTTCTTTCTTCCTTCCTTCCTTCTTCCCTCTTTCTTTTCCTCCCTCCCTCCTTCACTCTCTTCCTTCCTACCCTCCCTCCTTCCCTCCTTTCCTCTTTCCCTCCTTCCTCTCTCTCTCTTTTTGCTTAACAGTATATCATGGACATCTCCCCATATCAATACATATTCATTGATTCTTTGACTATTAAGCCTTTATATGTGTCA